ATGCACAGGCTGCACAACCCCACATAAGCCTGGGAATATGGGGATGGCAGCAAAGGCGGAGAGGTTCTGTAGAACTGATCAACATGGGCCGTTGAAAAAGCAATGCAACCCAAGCTAGGCCTGGGAGCCAGGAAAACAGACAGAGAAATCATGAATCGGCACATTTCTCTTGCTGTTTGAAAGATTTTTCTCTTTGCCTTAGAACTTTGAAATTGTGATTATGTTATTCTATGTTGAAGATCTTTTGTGGTCAAATCTATTTGTGGTCCTTTGAGTCTCCGAGAAATTGAAATATACTTCTTCCCAAAGGCTAGGCAAGTTTTAAGCTATTATTTCATTTAATAGGCTTCTTATGTTTTACCCTCTTTCTTGGCCTCCAGATCCTCAGGCAATGCAGAGTTTCTTAGTTAGATATGTCCCTTAAGTCTCAGAGCCTTTCCTTTTCTTTTTGTTTATTTAATGTTATTAATTATTTGAGAATTCATACATTGTATTTTGACCATATTTACCCCCTTCCCACAACTCTTCCATACCCACCCCCAATTTTGTCCAGCTTGTGCTGCCTGTATAACTCTGGGGTGTGTGGTCATCCACTGGAGTGTGGTTGACCACCAGGGGCCACACTAAAAGAAAACTCACTCTCTCCCCTAGCTGCTATTAATTTCCAATGCCCCTCAATGAGGGGTGGGACTTAATGCCCACCTCCGGCCTCCACGCCTGGATTTTGTCTGGCTTGAGCTTGTGTAGGTTATGTAGATGCTGTCACGAGCGCTGTGAGTTCAGATGTGCAACTGCCCTGCCCTGTCACGTCTGGAAAACACTGTTTCATTGTAGTCATCTGCCACCTCTGGCTCTTCTAATTTTCTGACCCCTTTTCAGCAATGATCCCTGAGCTTTGGAAGGAAAAGGTGTGTGATATAGATGTCTCACTTAGGGCTGAGCACTCTGCAGTCTCTTATTCTCTGAACCTTGACCACTGTGAGTCTCTCTATTCATCACCATCTACTGCCAAAGAAGCTTCTCTGATGAAGGCCGTGAGATACATTAATCAATGGGTATAGCAATGAGTCATTAAGGATTGGTTCACGACCATGTCCACTTAGCAGAACAGTACTAGGTTCTCCCCTAGAACCTATGGCATTTCTAGCCACAGGCTCTTGGCCCCAATAACAGTGTCAGGTACAGGTTTCATTTTGTGCAGCAAGCCTTAACCCCAGTTAGAAACTGGTTGATTACTGCCATGACATTCATGCCACTGTTGCACCAAGGAGCATATCTTGATCCTGCCAGACTGCTCATTATTTAGCTCACAGAGTTCACAGCTAGGCAAGACTGATAGCTTCTTTTCTTCTCTGGGAGCATGCATGACACCATCCAGCACTATGAAAACTCACCAGCATTATGATCCCATGTTAGTACCAGCCTGATTTTCAGTGTGTCTTCAGCAATAGGACAATGAAAACATGGTCCATTTATACAATAGACTATTATTCAGCTGTTAGAATAAAAACTAAATTATGAGATTAAGAGTTAAATAGATGGAGCTGGAAACAACCATTCTGGGTGAGGTAACCCAAACCCACAAAGACAAATGTCGTATGTTTTCTCTCATGTGTGAACATTAGCTTTGAATCTTCAAATATGACTTCCACTTGGAATAACCATAGAGATCAGGAAATCAGTAAAGGGCCATGACAGGGGAAGCTTTCAGTGGAGGGGAGATAGAACTTGGTAATATAAAAGGAGAAAGGGGAATAATGAAACAGGAATGGTTAAATACGGTGGGGACTGGGAGGGCAGAGTGGAGGAAGGAACACATGGGGAGGGAGAATTCACTTTAAAGACCTGTTGAAAAGTCATGGAAACCTATTGTAGAAGCTTCTAAAATGTACACATAGAAAAATAGTTTAATCCGGGTATGGTGGTGCATGTCTTTAATTCCAGCACCCAGGAGGCAAAGGCATGTGGATCTCTGTGAAATCAAGGCCACCCTGTTCTACACAGTGAGTTCCAGACTAGCTGTGGCTATAGGAAGACCCTGTCTCAAAAAGACATAAAAAAAGTTTAAATTGAGTTACCCTGTAAAAGGGCAACAGTGCCCCTATTAGACACAACAGACTAACAAATAAGTAGCCCAGTGACAGGAATGGACTAGTCCTTTTGGACTTGTTGGTCAGTGATGTCCCACAGATGCCTGAACATTACAGGCTATCACCATTGCTCTTGATTAACCTCCAGAACTTGACAGTAAGACCTTATTACTGAAGATACCACATACTTGAGTCAGAGGCTTTCTTTAGTTGCCTTTTTTTGTTTGTTTGTTTCTCAAGGAAATTCTTAATTTTAATAATTATAACAATAATTGACATTTTTTGCTTTTTTAATTAAAATTTATTTTATTTTATGTGTATGTGTGTATTGCCTGCTTGTAGGTAAGTGCATCCGTGTCATGCAATGCCTGTGGAGGTCAGAAGAGGCTGTCGGATCCCCTGGGACTGGAGTTACAGACAGTTGTTAGCTGCCATGTGGGTGCTGAGATTCGAACTCAGGTCTTCTGCAAGAACAACCAGTGTTCTTAACCACTGAGCCATCTCTCCAGCCCTCTGTTGGCTTTTAACTCAACTGTTTGTTTTGTTGTACAGAGGCATTTAATTTTAGGGGGTCCCTTTGTTTATTGTTAATATTATTTCCTGAATGACTTGAGTCCTACTCAGAAAGTTCTTGCCTATGTCTCAAAATGTAGTCCCTACTTTTTCCTGCAAGTTTTAGGTTTTACATTGAGGTCTTTGATCCATCTGGAGTTGACTTTTATGCAGGATGAGAGGTAGGTGTCCAATTACATTCTTCTACATGTGGATATACAGTTTTCTTATCACCATTTGTTGGAAGAGGCTGTCTTTTCTTCATTATGTATTTTTAATATCTTTATCAAAAGTCTTGTGGCCATAGTTGTCTATATCTGGCTCTTCTTTTCCATACTCAGAGAGTTCCTCTAACTGGACTCCAAGCCTGTGACAACTAAGCAACAACTCTGAAGCAAAGATTACCAGCTCCTGCAGCAATTGGGTCCATGGAAATCTCCTGCTTACCCTCTCCCCTGCAATGTGGAATATTCCCTGCTGTGAGGCTGGTATCCTAGTTGCCACTTAACTTCTTCCTCTCTAGATTGACATCTCATGTCTCTACATCTTACATGGTTCCTGTTTCTTCCTTGCTGAGCTCTAGTGCACTCCCTAAGCTTCTCATCTTGAAGCAAGAGCTACTTCTCTGTCTGAAAATACCTATCATGGGCCCCTGAGATGGCTCAGCAGATAAAGGTGCTTGCTGCCAAGACTGACTACCTGAGTAAGTGGTGAGTCCCACATAGCCATACACATATACACAATAAATAAATCAACAAAGAAATGGTTTTAAAGAAATTTTTATTGATTCTTTGAGAGTTTTATATTTTGAGAGTTTTGTATTTTGATTACATGCCCCCATCCCCTAGCTCTTCCTAGATCCACCCCCACTTCTCTTCATACAGCATCAGTCTTACCCAGTTGTGAACCCTGCAAGAGCTACAATAACAAATGGCCTGGCAAGATATACCCACTTATGCAATAGTGGCACAAATTAACCAACCACCCTCTGACTGGATTTAAGGCCCATTGCACAAGATGGAACCCATAACTGGCACTGTTATAGGGGCCAAGAACCTGTGACTAGACAGATTATAGCCCTAGAAGAGAGCTTGTTATAATATTCTACTAAATGGGTGTTTTTTAAAGAAAATAGCTTTCATAAAGGAAATTGCAACATTTTATACATGAGTCAAGAGTTGTAATGCACACCTGTTATCTCTGCATTTAGAAAGTTTAGGGAGGAGGATCACTAGTTTTAGGCCATCCTGTGAACCATAGCTAGAGCCTGTCAAGAAATATGAAAAGAAAGAGGAAAAAGAGATAGACAAAGAAGAGTGGGGAGAAAGAGAAGAAGAGGAACCACAGACCCTGCTGATGTTTTACTGGATAAGAGCCTAAAGGGTCATATTCATTTCAGTCAAGATGGTTGCCACCCAGCGAGTCATGGGGCAAAAATCTCAGAGCGAGCTTCTGAAGCACCAACCCCCAAGGGTTGAGGAAGGCCCTGTGGCCATTTTTAAGTCACAGAGGATCAACAAGGCAGTAGTGGGTTTCCAAGGCTGCTTGTAAATCCTGGGTTTGAGGTTGGGCTTCAAAATACTGCTTTGTCCTTGCAGATGCAAATAGGCAGGAGGATGAGAAATGGGAGTCCATGGCCACCTTTACACCAAGTTCTCTAATGTTTGAATTTTATCTTTTTTATTGATTGAGAATTTCATACATGTGTATGTGTTTTGATCTAGTCCACCACTCATTCCCTCACCTCCGATCTCCCACTTTCTCCTGGCTAGAAGAACACATATTTTCATCACCTGTGTATTTTCAAAAGTTCCACATTACCAGTCAAGAAAATAAGAGTGGCCTGGCTCTTCCCACCACTGGCCAGGCCACCAGGGCAACCAGGTACACGGGCTCTGCAGCTGGAGATGGAGACACAGATGGAGATGGTGCTCGAGCGCTGCCACTCTGAGTGCCAGTGGGAGAAGACCCACGACCTCTTCAAGCATCTGTCCACCAAGCTCATCGCCAACATGACTGAATTTCTCCATGGTGAGTGGACCCCAGATCAGCACTTGAAGGAGAAGCCCCTGAGGCAGGGTAGCTGTTCCCCGCAAACCCAGCTGACCGAAGTGTGCAAGCATTTGACTGCTGCGATGGACCGAGGGAAGCTCAAGTCAGAGTTCCTGTAAGAATCTAATCTGATCGTGGTCAAGTTGAAGCTATGGATGACGGCAGAAGCCTACGAAAGATGAAGGCTAATCGGGAGAGTCTTGAAGAGGACTTTGACCTTGTGCATTTATAACATGGTTCCTCAAAAATCTCACAAGCTGACAGCCATTTGGCTAACCATGGCAGTGGCAGCGGTTGCTGCTGCTGCTACTGCTGGAACAACCTGAGTGACTCAAAGGCCTTCATGAACTTCTCCAGAATGGCCATGGCAGCCTCCCCCGGCGGAGCGCACTGCGGTGTGCTGTGCCTCTCAGCAGCCGAGAAATGAGTGGGATCTGCGCGGTGGACAGGAACAGAACCCAGATATCTGGACATCTTGGGCTCGTCCCCTCTATCCTGAGGATTATATCTGAAAAAGTTTAAGCAGAGGAGCAAAATTTTAGCCAGTCAAATGAAGTAGTTTTGTGCTAGGGGATCCAACACCCTCTTGTGACCTCCGAGGGCATTGCAGGACAAGTGTACTTGTATTCAAGGAGAGAAAAACACAGTTTGAGAGCCTGGGAACTTAAGAAAAGGAAGAGAACTAGAGCTGCGATCCCCTCCAGTGAGCTGGAGTCATGGTCCTCTCCTGTGAGCTGGAGTTTTCTCTCCTGAGAGCTGGAGCTGTGGTTCCCCTCCTGTGAGCAGGAGCTGTGGTCCCCTCCTGTGAGCTGGAGCTCTGGTTCCCCTCCTGTGACTCTCCTGTGAATTGGAGTTGGGGTCCCCTCCTGTGACCCAGAGCTGTGGTTCCCCTCCTGTGAGCTGGAGTTGTGGTTCCCCTCCTGTGAGCTGGAGCTGTGGCCCTCTCCTGTGAGCTGGAGTTGTGGCTCTTCCTATGGGCTGAAGTTGTGGTTCCCCTCCTGTGAGCTGGAGTTGTGGTTCCCCTCCTGTGAGCTGGAGCTCTGGTTCCGCTCCTGTGAGCAGGAGCTGTGGCCCTCTCCTGTGAGCTGGAGTTGTGGTTCTTCCTATGGGCTGAAGTTGTGGTTCCCCTCCTGTGAGTTGAAACTGTGGTCCTCTATGAGCTGGAGTTTTGGTTCCCCTCTTGTGATCTGGAGCTGTGGGTCCCTCCTGTGAGATGGAGCTATGGATCCCCCCTATGATCTGGAGCTGTGGTCCCCTCCTGTGAGATTTAACTGTGGCACCCTCATGGTAGTATGGACTCCCAATCCCAGGAGGGATGATCGGAGTGGGCTGTGCTGGATCAGGTGCTCAACCACTGTTGAAGCTTAATGCACCTATCAGCTCTTGCCGGCGAAGTTTCCTTATGCAGCAGATGGTGATTGACACAGAAATTTATGGCTATCTGATGTGCAGGGAGGAGGGGCCTGCAGAGCACTTGCCTCTGAGTGGGATGCCTCTGTCAGGCTTCTGGAGCTCAGGGCTTGGGAGTCATTGCAGAGGAGGAGGTGGAGAGATTGTGGGAGCCAGAGGTAGTGGATGACCATGGGGCAGGGGGTGGAGTTCTCCAGACAGCTGGTCAGTTACTCACTCATGTGAACTTTCAGCAATGGTGACAGCATGCACAAGTCCTATGCAAGCTCCGGTGGGTGAACCCACACTGGAGAACATTTGGGGATTCGTTAGATGCTATATGCTTTATAATCCAGAGAGTACATTGAATTGAGGGGGAAGGTGTGGGGAGGTATGGATGGGTGAGGGGATATAAATGTCATCAATTTATACTGTATGGAAACTGCAAAAAAATCAACAATAATGGTAGAAAGAAAAAGAAAAAAAGAAAATAAGAAGAGCAGATGGAATGTCTAGTGAGTAGACTCCATCATTAGCCAGGAGGGAATGTTGGGCAGTCTCCATCCAAGTCCGTCTGTTTGAGCCACCTATGATGCTAGACTCTTCTTCGTTCTTTACTAATTACTAAAATTTTAAACTTTTTTTTAACCTAAAGTCACAAATGTAACATCAGGAGTGAAATTTCTAGGGTTTTATATAAAATTAGATAATGTGGTTAACTCATCTTTTATCAAACAAACATTCCCAACAAAAGCTAAGAGAAACATGAGAGACACCAAAGTGTATGACCTCAGTGAGATAAAAAGGAAAAACTTGTTGATAAACGTTAAAGGTTAAAGGTTGCTGGTTTCAACCTTCCACCATGTCTCTAGCAACATAGATGAAATCATCCAGCATGTGTAAGAGGAAGAGATTTAGAACTGAAGGCAATGCTAGGCCTGACATGGTGAAAATCAGTACCCGGCAGCCTCATGACCCCTACCCCCAGGGCAACACTCAGGAGCTAAAATGCTGGTACTATGCCAGTCAGACAGCTCATTCCACCCTCCCTCCAACTGCAGGCAGCAGAGGTGCAATACTCCACCTTCTGGGAAGCAGGCATAGAAGCTAGCACAAAGCACTGCCTTGGCATTAAGGGCTTTGCCTTAGAGCTAAGTGCCAGGCCTTTATCATAACTTTTACAAATGTTCAAGACATTCATGTTTACTTGAATCTGGAAGTTCCAAACTACATCTACCATGCCTTATAAAGTCATTTGTAAAACACACTGATAGATGTGAATTAAAGCGAAAAACCAATTTTGATTACTATAGAACTGCAGTCTGAAGAATAAATTTATTGAGCGTTCCCTATAAACCAAACATCTTCATAATCATTAGAATGAAAAGGAAGCAAATGCTTCGGCCTACAGTGAGAGGAGAGTTTGCTTATGCAGTTGTTCAGCTAAAAGGATTCGGTCACAAGGACCCCTCCATTCAGCCATGCATCTACATTGATCACTAGCACCAAAACCTTAAGCAATTACATCCTTTATGAGTGCCTATATTTGTAATGGAGAAAAGGTTCACAGTACATAGGCTGTATCTGTGCTCCCTATTCACAGAATTTAAAATCTGTTGTGCTTCCTAAACGCATTCCCATTTTGAACAGTACCAAACTCTGAAAAGCAAGCTGAGCAAAGGTTCTAAAGAACAAAATGATTTCATCTTAAGGAAAATGGATAGAACTGAAAATCATCCTGTTAAGGTAAGCCAGACACAGAAAGACAAATATCACATTTTCCCTCATATGTAGAATTTACATTTATTCATATATACATGAATATATATGAAAGTAGAAGTGGGAACAGATAGGGTGTGTGTGTGTGTGTGTGTGTGTATGTGTGTGAGTGACATGAACATAGAAGGTGGACTACATGGGGTTGAGGGAGGGGTCTAAGGGAGAAGAAAACAAAGAAGGTAATGGAGAGAAGAAAGGCAAATGTTTTCTCTCATGTAGGATCAGATTTAACTAGATAGGTGTCTGTTTATAGAGAGAGGGGCAGGAGAAAGGAGATTAACTGATAGGGGAGCATCACTCTCCTTTGATGAGTCTGCCTCTCAGTTGCTAAAGCCCATCTTCCCAAAAGGCAATTGGAGACCACCTCGTAGGTTAATGGTTCCATGGTCCCCAAGGAGAGGTCCAGGCCCATATACTGTACTCTTCAGAATCCTAAACAATGAAAGAAAGGATCTCTCCTGAAATACACTCACTCATTTAAACTAGGAAGGCAATCATGAGAGACTGGGAAAACAAAAAGAAAGGGTTTCTCACATTACTCTGGTCTTTCAAGACCATGGAAACACAAGTCAACAGGATTTAACTTCACTCCTCACATTTTCTACACACTGCCTCCGAGATTGGAATGTGAAGCCCAGCCTCCTTCCTGGTTCTCTCCTCTTCAATTGCAGAGTCCTTGCTGTTAGAACACACAGGAATGGCCAGCAGACCTTTCCCTGATCACCAACCACACTTACCAAAGCAGCCTGTGCCGTGATCGAAGGTATGCCTCTCAGTTGTGCTTCCGACAAGGCTCTCTCCAAGGCCTGTGGTTGTGAGACTACATGTTGTACCGTCACCAAAGCACAGCATTCATAAGATAACTTGAAGTGTGTACTTCAAATCATTAGAGGAAACGTTTAGTGAAACATCAAAGCTAAGGCTTAGAATCCAAATTTTTTCCCAGAAAAAGAAACTCCTTTCTTTTAAGGAACATGAAAAGTTTCTGATCACGTGGTAAAATTTTACTGCCTCTACTGCAGCTGCCCAGCCAGCAAGGACTGAGGAACAATGCTGAGTGCAGAATCATACTGAGGGGAAATAAGTCTTCAGATTGTATGAGTCCCCACAGAGCTGACGTGAGAAAGGAGAGCTCAGCTTCCTCCCAGGCCTTCTCCTAGCCCCCACTCACTCACCACTGCCTTCTCCTTAGTCTAATGAATTTCTACAATGGCTCTCTTTTTATATTTTGTTATTAGTTTAGGTGTATGAGTGTATTGCCTGCATGTGTGTAAGTGAACCCACGTTGTACAATGCCTGAGGAGGTCAGAAGAGGGTGTCGGATCCCTGCTCCCAGTTGTTAGCTGCCATGTGGGTGCTGGGAATCAAACCCGGGTCTGCAAGAGCAGTCAGTGCTCTTAACTGCTGAGCCATCTCTCCAGCCCTTATAATGGCTTTTCTAATGTCAAGTCATTCTTGAGCTTCTGGGTTGTCTGACTTTTTCTGGATTCATCTTTGTTATAAATACTTCTGGATTTGATTTTTCAATACTATGGGGTTTTTTTGTTTTGTTTCTTGTTTTTGTTTTTGTTTTGCCTTCACGTCCATAAACATACATAACAACTATTGTCCAAACAATTTGAGGTTTTGAGGTATATGCCAACCCACTTTGGTCTTGATATGATTTGATCAAGGGTAGAGTCATCTGACCAGCTCACTTTGGTTAGACCCTAAGGTCACTTAAAACATCTCCAAAAAATGAACTTGTGAAAGTGGAAAAAAGTAAGCACTCATTTTAAAAGATGAATGTCGTATTATATCTGACTTTGTCAATCAGCAACCACATTTTCCATTCACTTGTTGTTAATGTATGTTACAAACTCAAATAAAAGACTAAGTCAGGAACTTCAGAATTTAATAGCCATGAAATTTCTAACTCAAAACTTAAAACACAAAACTCTAATAAATACATGTGTATACAAACATTATATATATCGAAAAGAAAATCAATACAGAAAAAGCCAAATTAAAATTTCATGACATTCCTTATCTGATCTATTCGCTGTTTAATTTTTTAAATTTTTAATAACTACATGATTAGAAGAAGCATTTCATTACAGCTTTAACATATTCAGTAACACACTCCAGAGCAAGAGTACATCTCTTTCAAAGGTGGCTGTAAGTTTCTAGGTTCACAGTTGAATTAATACAGTTATATAATATTGAACTCAATATACACCCTGTAAGACATAAAACTGAGGGTTTTTTTGTTTGTTTGTTTTTGGAGACAGGGTCTCTCTGTAGCCACAGCTGTCCTGGAACTCACTATGTAGACCAGGTTGGCCTCGAACTCACAAAGATCCACCTGCCTCTGCTTCCCAAGTGCTGGATTAAAGGCATGTGTCACCACGCCCGGCTGAGCTTTTAACCTTTAAAAAAGATCTCCATTTCATTTTAGAATATATTGTTCCTTGCAGAAAGACTCATTGTTTTTGGTACTAACAATGAGATATTGGTGCATGCATCTCTAATCTGTATGTATCTGATTATTGCTAGTTGTAATGGGTTGCACTTGGATCCTTGGCGCCTGTGTATGTCTATAAAGTCATTGGGTATATTTCAGTGGTAGTGTTTATCACCTCTACTAATTAACATGATGTAAATTTTTATGCTTTCTCCTCAAATATAATCCATTTTTTAAAAATTTGTTAAGTGTGTGTGTGTGTGTATCACACAGAACATCCCAAACCATCTTATTCAACTATACACCCACTTCCCAGATGGCACCCTCCCATAGCCTCCCTCCCCCCACTAGAGCCCTTATACTCTGATATCCCTGCTACTGTCTGCTGTGTTGTTGGCACCCCCAACCATTCCCCACTACTTGCCCATCCTGTGAATCTAGTCAGCCTATCTAGAGGGCTTTGTTTTAGGAAGGTCAGCTGTTCCTTATCTAGCAGCAATCAGTTGTCAGTATTCCTTTAGATAAGATTGGGGTGTGCTGTTCACTTTCCCAGTTCTATGCTGAGTTACTATCTGGGAGTCCCTTTGGCCAGTTGTTCCCAGTGGGGAAACTTCCAGGGGCCTATGAGTACCTCCCCCTCAGGAGCCTGTCACAACCAGAGAGCATCAAGCAGGGCTGTGCAGTGCCAGGCAAAGAAGGCTTTCCTTCTCTGCCTCCTTTCCCAGCTCCACCTAGAGGAACCTGTGTTTATCTCAAAGGGAGGGAGGAGGAAAACCACTAGACTGAGAAGTGGGACTGTGTCAAGATCCCCTTTCCTGTTCCCCTCAAATTAGAAGCATTTCAGAGCCAAGAGTGAGGGAAGCTTCCACTGCACAGGAAATTTAGAGGTTGGATGATTAAATTGGACTCTGATATTTAGTTTTCTAAAGGTAAACTTGTAGTTTAGTGAAGGAATTTTAGATTATAGGAAAATTGCAAAGTTAGAACAGAATTTCTATACCCCTTTCACCTTGGCTCCCCTTTGTAAACACGGTAGATTACTTTGATACATTTGTCAAAGCAAAGCAATAACACAGCATATCTTTGATAAGTAAACTCCAGGCTCTTTGGGGGTTTCACCAACCAGTATTGTCAGGACTCCACCTCTCTCTGTCTCTGTCTCTGTCTCTGTCTCTCTCTGGCTCTTGATCTCGCTCTCACTCTCTAGGACGTGCATGCTTTCGCTATCTCACTCTTGCTCTGCCTCTGTCTCTCCTAGTTTATTTCCTATTGCTATAATAAAACACGGACCAAAACCAACTTGGGGAGGAAAGCGTTTATTTGCCTTACATGTCCCTATCACCTTTATCATTAAGGAAACCAGGCCAGGAAACCTGGAGGCAGGAGCTGAAGCAGAGACCATAGAGGGGCACTGCTTCCTGGCTTGCTCCCTGTTAGCTTGCTCAGCTACTTTTCTTATGCAACCCAGGCTCACCTGCCCAGGGATGGCATTGCCTACAGTGGGGCCTCGAAAATCAATTAACAATTAAGAAAAGGTGTCACAGACCTAGGTGTGGTGTACGCCTTTAATCCCAGCACTGGGGCACTGAGGGTGGGTGGGGGGGAGGGAAGAGGCAGGCAGACCTCTGTGAGTTCAAGGCCAGCCTGGTCTACATAGTGAGTTCCAGACCAGCTAGGGTGATAGGGACACCCTGTCTCAAAAGAAAAAAAAAAAAAGAAAGAAAGAAAGAAAATGCCTCATAGACAAATCCATAGGGTAATATAATGCAAATAATTCCTTAATTGGGTTCCCTTCTTCCCAGTGACTAGTTTGTGTCAAGTTGACAGAAACAAACCAGGAGAGAGAGAGAGAGAGAGAGAGAGAGAGAGAGAGAGAGAGAACATGTGAGTCAGAGGACAACTTGTGGGAGTTAATTCTCTCCTTCCAATGAGTCCAGATTGTCAGGTTTGGTGGAAAGCACCTTTACCCAGTGATCATCTCTGCTACCCCTGCAAGAATAATATTTTCTGCTCCAAAGCTAGTGGATGGAAGGTAGATGGCCAGGACTACAGAGGCTGTACCAACTAGGCTTCTGCCCTTGGTAGTGGTGCAGACTAGCTGATAAACCCACTGGGCCTTACCTCTTTCCCTTCTGCCCTCTAGGATAGCAGTGCACCCTGTGGAGCCAGGTATGTGGGCTCTATGGTGGCAGATGTGCATCACACATTCCATAGAGGAATCTTTATGTACCCCGCCAACCAGAAGAGTCCTAAGGGCAAGGTAACTTTCCTGTGTCCACTGGCTACCACTGGGTTTTTCTCTTCAGGCCTGATGTTGGCTACTGAGCTGCTTCTGGGCATGTGCCTTTGGGAGTGCACAGGAAGAGGCATTAGGTCTGCTTGCTAGCTGTGAGTTTGGAGGCTGTGGGAGGTCTGGGAGGTCTGAAATGATTGGGACTGGCAATTCTCAAAGGCCTTTCCCACCTCAGGCCCATCATTTGCCATGAACCACATGCTCATCTCCCACTTTTTTTTTCTTTTCTTTTTTTGTTTATTTATTTTATGTGTATGAGTATTATGTCTGCATGTATGTAAATGTACCCATGCAGTGCCTGCTGAAGACAGAAGAGGGTGTGGATCCCCTAGAACTGGAGTTACTGATAGTTGTTAGCTGCCATGTGGGTGCTGAGATTTGAACCCGGGTCCTCTGCAAGAGCAGCCAGTGCTCTTAACTGCCAAGCCATCTCTCCAGCCCCTTGTTGAGCTTTTAAAAAGTATCTGAATGAGCTGGGCGTGGCCACTCATGCCTTCAATCCCAGCACTCGGGAGGCAGAGGTAGGCAGATCTCTGTGAGTTCAAGGCCAGTTTGGGCTACATAGTGAGTTCCAGGACAGCTGGGCTACAGGGAGACCCTGTCTCAAAAATACCAAAAAAAAAAAAAAAAAGTGTCTGAATGAAAAGACATTTACAATCTTCTAGTACCCAGTTCCCCGTTGCCCACAAGTTCCTGGGGCAGATGAAAGGAGGAAGACGACGACCTCTAAGATGAAGAGCTCCCCTGGCCGCACTGTCCAGGACAACGTGGCACTCAGTGCTCCTCCTGGGAACGGTCATGGACAGTAGATCTCTAGTGTGCCCACATGCATTAGATTCTCTCTGTGTCCCACCACTGTGAGGGTCTAGTGAAGGCATTGTACAGCATTTTGCTGAAATGTCAGTCAGTGTCCCCTGCAGTTTGACCCACTGTCTCTTGAATGTCTGACTCTGCAGCCTAGACCTAAGACATTTGTTCATCTCCCAGAAACAACAGTAACAACAAAAATAGATAACAATAGCAAAAATAAATGATAATAAAATTAGCACAAGATAAGACTGTAGCAAAAAATTTGTATGCATCTCCAAAATAGATTCGAAGAAAAGGATGAAAAGAAAAAGGCTACAGAGAACTTAGTCAGCCGCTTTGTGAACAGATTAGAAAACATATATTTTTGTTAAATCACACATTTTGAATCAATGGGGAGAAAAATGATGATCTTATGACTCTGAGCTGGGAACAGCTGCAGTTCTTACAGCCAGAATGCCACTCTGAAACTAATGTGTATGTGTGCGCTTGTGTGTGTGCACTTGTGTGTATGCATGTGTGTATGCATGTGTGTATGTGTGTGTGTACCTGTGTCTAGTGGCAGGCATGAGCTGGGGAAGTACCTGTGTGTGTGTGTGTGTGTGCCTGTGTCTAGTGGCAGGCATGAGCTGGGGAAGTACTGACATATCATTGGACCCCAAAGGACATTTAGTCTGACCTCATTCAATTCAGTTTCTCATGTACTTAGAGACACCGGGCAGTATGACCTGCTAGATCCCCAGGGACTTTTCACTAGATTGGAAGACATTCCTTCCTCTGAGTTTGTGCAGCGCTTAGCAAGTGGGGTACAGGTTGATTTTAAACTCTGTCCTTACAGAGCAAGATATACAGTGGCCCCCTTCCACACATTCTTTGTGTCATACTCTCCTAATACTGGAGCTAGCACATGGACTAGGTATGGCAGAATCCACTCAAGGGAGGTCAGGCTAGGGAGAAAGCCAGATGTTAAAACCTCCATGTGATGGCCACTGTAAAGGGAAAAGCCCAGGATGCTGCTAGTCCAAACAACAGGATTTAATTTAGTCTAGACTGGCAAAAGAAAAGCACATTCAAACACTGGCAGGCTATTTAGCCAAGCTACTTGTGAGACATGGAGTTCCTTCACAATGTCTCAGACACTGGTGATCCCCGTCGAAAATACCTAGAGTTCTCAAGGTGATCTCATAGTCCTTCCTTCTTACTAGCAAAATGGCATTAAGTAAAGACTCCTAACTAGATCTGCAGAACCAGTTTATTTCATTGCTGTACTGCGATATAAGTGTCTGGGTCTTAGATCTCTAAATGAAGAGGCAGGTCTGGTGCTAAGCATGGTGGTGTACACTTTGAATCTCAGCACTTGGGAGGCAGAGGCAGGAGGATTACTGCAAGTTTGAGGCCAGCCTGGGCTACATAAATAAGTTCCAGGCAGCCAGGACTACCTAGTGAGATCCTGTCTCAAAACCAGAGGACAAAAAACAAATCCCACCCCCCACCCAGAGGCCAGCTCCAGCTGAGCCCAGGGCCTGAAGGGGTGAAGGTAACAGAGGTGGCAGAAATGACTGTACCAGAAACCACAGTGGCAGTTCTAGTAGAGGCTGTTGACTGACCCACTCGAGAGAGGTCAGACCGAATATCTTCTTCTTCTGAAAAAGCAGACTTCTACAACCTTTATTTATAGTTAGAAAGCTTACAATAACAGTAAAACATCAGACCATAAATCAAACCATAAGTTTGCACAGTATTTCTCAGTGCACCAATATTCTTCAGTAATCATAGTAAAAGGAAAGTAAAAAGTACAAAGTTCAACGATTAACCTTTTCTTAACATAGCCAAGCAATATCTTTATTGTTTACTTTAGAGCCTTGTGGTTTCTTCATACCTATTTTACCACAGAAATGTGAGACAGCCTGTCCTCCTTTGCCCTTGAATTCTTTGAACTTAATATTTACAGGTCGGCGTGTACATTTGAGAAAATTATTTTTCTCATGGGAACGGGAACAACCAACTCTTTTTATTTATTGTCTAACCAATTTTCCAATTTATCTTTTTCCTCTCCCTTTTGCTATCTCTTTCTGAATGTTTTGTATTCTTTGAGTTACATTATTACTTTTTCTTTTTAAATATCCTTTATTATTTTGTTGTCATTTATCTTCAGGGGCTTTTTGAACCGCTTTTTTGTCTCTGTAAAAGAAGAGGCAATTTTTCTTCAGAGGTCATGTACCACCAGCTTTTTCCTGATCTAGCTAATCTTTTTATTCAAGAGGGAATTTCCCTAAGCCAAGTAGTTTTTCCTTTATACCAAACTTTAGTCTCAGGAGTTCTTCATTCAGGGTTAAATCATAAACTCCTGTAAAAGGCAGCAGGGCATCTAAAGATTGCATGCTATTTTTTCCTTTTGGGGGAAACCAAGCCTCCATTATTAATCACAAATGCAGGTCCAACGGGGTCATAGTCGTAGGAGGAAGTCGTCTGTTTTTTTGTTTTTTTTTTTTCACTGAGGAGGCAGAGACAAGCAGGTCTCTAGAAGTTGGGAGGCTAGTCTCGTCTACATAGTGGGTTCCAGGTTAGGCAGGGCTACACGGTGATATCATATCTCAAAATAAATATCTATGAATGAAATGTTTTACTCTCTTCATAATAAACTTTTGAGCTCTAGCACATTTTACAGTTACAGCACATCTCAAACAGAACATTTTGGGTGTGTGGTATCCAGTTGTCAGTGGGGAAAAAATATTAAGAAGAGAAGGCTGAGGAACAAAGAGGAAGAAAGGAGTTCTCATTCTCCACAGCCTGCTGAACGTACACACCCATTCACAGTAGAACAAGCAGCACTTTGCAACACTTCACCTCCACTAACAGCCCCCACCCCAGACCACACTGTGTCACTGAATGCATATTCAGTGTGAAAATGTAACTGTACCTGTAACCAGCAAAGATCCGACCTTCTGGAGACAGTCACAGGCCACTTAACGAAGGAAGGGGATGTGTCCTCAGCTGATCTTTATCACTGTGCAAACATCATACTTAAACTAGACTGGGTAAACAGGTCAACCACTTGATGTGGCCTCTCCACACAACCAAGACAAGCAACAAGCACAAGACGTGGAGGACGCTGCGGGCCCAACATGCCATACTGGTTACAACACGCCTCTGCTGCAAGTGGGAGTATGTTGAAAAGTACTGATAAAAGGACTTTTGCTGTGCTCAAGACCCTAGCAATTCCATGATATAAAATACTCAGTCATTGCTCCCTTTCTGCTCCATCACAGAAGTTGATTATGCCAGTTGTAAGGCTTTGTGGGTCTGACTAGGTTTCCCACGGCAGTGTGTTAGTTTCTTTGGGAACGTGCATTCAGTGATCCAGTGTGACCTGGGTGGTGGTGGGGGGCTGTAGGGGAGGCAACGTGCTGGGAGGCACTGCTTGCTGGGCTGTGAGAAAGTAACCAGCCAGTTTCTTACCATCAATGCTAGAAGTGCCCAGATGCACATACCTGCTTTAAGTCAGCAGGGCACTGCAATGTGCTTACACCAGCTCCTCACAAGCACGTGAGGAAGAGGATGTGCTATAGACTCTTTAACGCGACCAGAATTTTCCAGCTGCGTCATGTCACCGGCCATTATACACAGCTCTTCACCTATCACGGCACTGCATCACCGTATGTGCAGGAATGGAGGGAGTTCACGTCACTGAAGACTGATGCTCTGTACACCGGCTGAGGAGCCCCTGTCACTGAAGACCGATGCAGCGCTCACTCTGTCTACTTTTTCCTGTTTAAAAATCTTCCATAGTATATACACACACACCTCTTTGCCACATTGATACTAATTAAATCTGAACAGAATAAAAATTAAAAATTTTAAATCTAAGGTTGCTTTTAGAGGAAAAAAAGGTAAATTAGGAGATACTGACATACTTTTGTTTTCTGAAAGAAATTCTGAGTACGTTTAAGAACTTTTAGGCCAAATCTTGGCCCAAGAATGGGGCTCAGTTACCACTAGCCTAGCATGTGTGAGGCCCTGGACTCAACGCCCAGCACAAAGAGGGGGAATCTTAGTATCCCACTTCATATTTATAATTTCACTATGCCTAAGGGCTTTTGAGGCTCATTAATGGGATAAAAGAGAAACAAGAAAGAGGAATGGGAAAGAGAAGGAGACGATGCCCAGGACAGGCTGAGGTGTCTCTGTGGAGGAAACGGCAAAGACCTGGGACTTGTGGATTTTAGTTTGGGGGTCTGCTATTGATTTGCTCCATGACTTGACACCTCATCTGGTATAGGCTTCTGTTTCCACAACTGGGACTGTGGTGGGTTAGGCTGCCTACTGAGCTTTTTTCAATTGTGTGTGTGTATGTGTGTGTGTGTGTGTGTGTGTTCGTCTCTCCTTCCTCCTTGTGGGATCCAGGGGTGGAAATCAGATCTTCACCCTGTCCCCTCTACCTGAGCCGTCTGGCCAGCCCCTCCTGGGTTTTCATGGGGCACATTCTGGCCACGTCAGGAAGGACCGTTCTGTTCTATCCCTTAATGGTGCCCATGCATATCCTTCTGGGTCCCCTCACGTCTGCTGAATGCTAGAGGCACCCTCACCCCCACTGCTGTGCTTCTGAAAGCTAAAAATAGTGAAGCCCCACCAATGCTTTCCCAAATGGGTCCTGCCAGAAGCTGATGTTTAATCAATGGCTGGTATGTGGCTCAGTGGGAGAGCACTCAAAGGGAGAAGAAAAGACAGGGGAAGGGGAAGGGAAAGGGCCAAGTGAAGGCCCCAAAGCAGAGCTTCTCTCTGCCCTTCTCTGGTCCTTCTACCTACTGCCTTCATTCTCCACAGGCCTAAGTCATGGATTCCTTGCCCAGGCAGAGGAGCATACATTAAACTCATTTCCCTAGTTACTGAACCTATTACTCTAACCTTCACTCTAGTTACTCTAACCTTTCTTGCCTAAACTCTCTTGGGTCTATGTTAGCTCACTGCAGAAGGGCCTT